GGCCACGAGGCCGCCGCCGTTGTCGTAGAGAAACATGACGGTGGGCTCGATCCAGCGGGGGTGGAGGAGCACGGAGGCTGTCATAGCCCGAGCCGCATGGAGAAGACCCCAGTGGCGCTGTTTTAAAAAGCCCCCAAGAAGTGAAGAGCGCGCCGCGCGGGGCCGGGGCCCGAGCGAGGGGGGCGGATCGCGCCCCGCGGGGTCGCGCCAGGCGGCCGCCCATTGGCCCGCCCCCCCCCCGCTCCGCCCACGGCGTATGCAAAGCGGGCGGCTCCAGCCCCGGCCCCGCGGCGCACCCGCCGTCCCCGCCGCCGCCCGCGAGGTCCCCAGCGCCAGCGCCCGCCGCGCGGCCACGCACCACTCACCCGGGGGAGAGGCGGGGGGCGCGGGAGGGTGCGGGAGGGAGGGCAGGGCGGCCTCCTCACGGCTCCCCGCCTCTCCTCCTATCCCAGTGGGGCTCAGAGCAGCGTAAGACCGGGACGGGACAGGGGTGAGCTGTGGGGTTGCGACCTGAGGCTGTCAGGTAAATCTGCGGGCCGGCTGGGGATGGGATAGTAGCGAGGCGTCGTCCAGCCCGGGTGTTTCTCGGTGCCTCCCGGCGCTGTTTTCTTTTCAGGTATCCACAGCTACGCGTCTTTCTGCAGCGAGACGCCAGCACTGACACTAACGCTTTCAGCTTTTATAGCGTCGCGATTTGACTCTCTTTCTGGGGGGAACAGTGGCTGGACGGTTGCGGATGCTCCTGGCTCTTGGGCCCCAGGACATTCCGCTGGAAAGCTGGGACTGTATGTAGGAGCTCCCTCTCCTTCCCTGTCCACAGTGCTGGTGGACAATTTCATACACTCGCACATAGGCCCGTAGGCTTAGAGTGACCCATCACATCCACACGGACACACACACACACACACACACACACACACACACATCCAAGTGTACCCTGATCACAGATTCACACTTCTGTATCCAGACTGTTCCTCACTCGGCACCAGTAACAACTCTTCCTGCTCCAGAGACTGTGAGGTGGAGAGAGAAATTCGCGGGCACTGTTCTTCAGTGCTTCCACACCTCTGGCCGGCCTATCCTGTCCTGGAAGGAGTTTAAGAGGAACAGGCTGGTTGGGTGCTGGCAGGGACTCAAAAGAGCCCCTCTTCTGGGGCCTAATACAGCCTGGGCAGGAGCTGACTCTCCAGTCACCTGAACACTCCTTATTTCACTCTGTTCTGGGACAGGAGAAAGAGGCTTTTGGGGTCCACCTCCCGCCTTCTCCCCAAGTAGAACTGGGGGAGAGCACTGTTTCCAGCCTGAAGAGGGTGTGCAGTCGTCCTGCATCTAAGAACCAGCCCAAGAAGCCTTTCCTCTGTGCCTGGGGAATGCGACCCTTTCCTAAGAGCATGGTGAGATGTTGGTGCTGGAAGAGTCAAGCGGCCGCCATGATTTGGTGAGGGCTTTGGGGCCACACACTTCCATTTTCTATTGTGGAGGCTGTGATCTGGTCAGATGTTCAGAAGGGGAACATGCTTTCAAAGTGAAAGTAGGTGCATTCCATGGGAACATCAGGGCTGGGGAGAGGGCTAGACTCCCTTGCACCCCAGGCGAACTGGTAAGCAAGCTGACAGGTAGGACCTGCCCTCCAGACCCAGCTTGCAGACTCAGTCCTAAACTCAGGGCACTGTGGGTCATCCCCAGCCCCTATCCCCCTCCCAGGTCTGCTCTCTAAGGCTCCTGGTCTTCCTGCAGGGTCCGGACCCACGAGGCTGGGTTCTGGCTTTTATCCACCCTGATCCCGGGTGTGCCTGGACCAATGTAAATGTTGCCCAATAAAACCTTCTATGCCCCCCTTCCCCCACCATACACATAACCAGTGTGCCCTTTCCCTCCTTCCTTTTTAGTAGCTCCGGGTAAATATTGATTTGCCCCCAGTTTACCTCCTCCCTGACTGGCCATTTGCAGACTAAGGAACCGGCCTCTGTAGGGACCTGATTTTTGTGTTACTTTCCGGGCCGTTTGCCCCCCTTCCTTCCTCCAAGTGGCATTGTAAAATTCACGGTGACAAAGAGGCAGGGTAGGGTTCAAGGCCCCAGTTCCTGAGGACTTGAGGGCTGTTTTACATACGGGTCAGACACGGCTGGAGGCCAAGGTCAAGTTGAAAGTTGTAGTCTCGCCAGCGTGAGAACTGCCATGCAAGCCTGGAGACCCGGGCAGCTGCGAAAGGCCCACCGCCCACCGCACCTCACCCTTGACTCCTTTCTCCTTTGGAATTCCTGTTTCTGTCTCTGTTTGGTTACCCAGATTTTTTTGCTGCCTTCATAGAGTTTTTGGGGCGGTGTTTACAGACTCTTCTTCTCTGCCTCCGCCCTGCTCTTGGCCCGAGCTTCAAGCCTCTTCTGTTTTCTAGCCAGACCCGGAAAAACGAAAACACAGCTCCGGGAGCCCCCACCAGCCGGCACTTGTGCCAGCTCACCTCTGGCCATGGCGCAGCTGTTGGTGCACACAGCGGCCAAGGCCAGCTCCACATTCATCACTCCCTCTCCCCATTTCATCGGAGACGGAGAGCACTGCGTGCAGAGGAAGGGCCCCAGCTCCACAGACTGCCAAAGTCGACTGGGTCCCTCCTCACCAAAAATGGTGAGACAAGTTTTCATCTTGTCTGCTGAGGAGCTGCAAGCAGGTTTGTCTGGGAGGACAGTGCTGGGGGGAAGGCTTTGGGTTGCATCTCAAATTAGGCTTTGCCCCTTAAACTTGGCGGCTCCGCCAGGGAAGAGCTTCAGGCCTGAATTATTTATTGAGCATTGTGGTGGATCTTTAGTGATCAAGTTATCTGGATATTTTCTTAGTTCCCTATCAACTTCCAAAAAACGCTCAAGATGTGGTTACTTAGAGGGAGGCAGCCTGCTCGCGTTTCCTTTGTATCTTGGATCTCGATATGTATGAAATGATTTTCTACCAGGCAAGTCAATGGCATGCTGGCTTGCCGTCACTGTTTTTAAAAGTCTGCAGGTCCTCCTAGGTACTGAGTTGTAGCCACCAACCAGTGGAGATGGTTTGTAGAATTTGAATGAGCTCCGTGAATAAATTTGGGTCTCAGTTTCTACTCACTTTGAAGCAAGAAAATCTCTCTCCATTCTTCTCCTTTGTTGAGGGACATAAGAGATTCATTAATGGTTTCCAATACTGTTTCTTAGCCTCTTAGCCCTCCAGGCAGCCATCAGAATTGACTTGCTTTGGCAAAATAGAGGTTTGAGGGCAGTGAACTGGAGTGTGCTCTAGGAAGCAAGCACAGAACTCTCCCAGTGATATTCCTCTTTTTTCCTACGTCAAGGTCAAGACTCACTTGCCTGCCCAGCTAATATTCGTCCCTGACCCCTCTGCTGTTTTATTCACCAGGCTCAGTAATTCCTATGGGATTGCAGGGAGGTGCCATCAACTTGAACCTGGCAATGATAATTTTATCCCCAGACCCTTTGTGAGCTAGGCTGAGGAAGCCAGGGCATCCGTTAGGATCTGCGGGAGGCAGTGGCCCCTTGAGCAAGAAGGTGGCAGAGATAGAGGTGGGCTCAGCCTGGTGCTTCCGGATTTCCCCCTGGAGAAGCCCTGAATAGGCAGCATGGGTAAGATGGGAGGACAGCGGCCGCCCAGTGGCTTGGCCTTTGTTCTAGGAGATGCCAGACCCTTTTTCTTGCCAGATCCATGGCAGGCATGGCTTCTTACCTCTTAGGGCAGACAAGGGAGTCCCATGGGGCTTTTCTGCCCTGGAGCCTCCTGCTGAAAAAAGAGACTTTGGCCGTGTGTGTGTGTGTGTGTGTGTGTGTGTGTGTGTGTGTGTGTGTGTGTGTGTGTGTGTGTGTGTGTGTGTGTGTGTGTGTGTGTGTGTGTGTGTGTGTGTTGGGGGGAGACTTGCTGCCAGCTTGGGCCATGGGGCCCTGGGCTCCCAGGGCTAGAAGAGAAAAGGACAAAGGGAAAGCAGGTTTTAATCGAGTTTGATTTTCACTAGCAAATGAAATTTACCTGCTCTCACTTTAACTCGGAGGAGGCTGTCAGCACTGCTCCCTGGCACTATTTCTCTGCATCCATCCAGCATTAGAATAAACATTCCTCCCTCCGTTTTTAAAGACACTTTGTATTTCAAGATATTCATGTGTTTCTAATGTATCCAAGCAGCTTTACGAGCCGCATTTGCAGAACATCTTAACCCTCTCTCTCCCGCCTCAGGAGGGGTGGGGGCACAGAGATAATGGCAAAGGAAGAAAGATCCAGAGTCGGAGCTGAGGCTAGAGCTAAGCGGGAAAGAGAAAGAGAGACAGGGAAAAACAACCAAACAGGAGAGCACGCCTGAATCTGCAGTGGACCAGACCATTTGGGTAAGAGGCAAGTAAGGGTCGCTCTGTTCTCAGTGGGCTTTTCAAGTTTCCCCACCCCTATTCCCACCAGGATGGAAGCTGTATTCTTTTTTTTCTTCAGGAAAAAGGGTAGGTTCTGAAGAAACCTGGGCTGAAGCTTGCCAGTGGGCCGGGTAATGGCACATCCTGAGTCACTTGTTCAAACTTTGGTTCTAGATTTTTGTGCTTTTGAAGCATTAATGAAGCAGCAAAGAGCCCAAGGCTGTAGGAACAGTTTTGAACTGTGGGAAGTCACTTGGCACTGTGGTGACCCAATGCCAACACGGTGAAAATGGATGTGCGAGAACCTGGAAGATCCTCTTTGCGGTTAAGATGCCCTCATCCCGTGAATTTTGAGGAGAGCAAGTTTTGGGAGGAGCAGCGCTCCTGCCGCCTGGTGGGTTCCTTCCCGTAGCAGGCCTTCAAGGCCATCATTACACAGCGCCTCAGAAAGGACAGCGGCAGAAGCCCAGGGAGGACCCCAGTTGCAGCGCTGCCCTGCAGTGTTCCCCCCAGCCCCTCTCCCGAGCATGGAGAGGGACGCTTCCCACACACTATTTAGGACGACCAGTTCCAGGGCTCTTTTGAGAAGCAGCGGCCTCTGCACAGTGCCAGCGGGCTGCGCCCAGACTCCCCAAGGTTGGCATAAACTTGGAGTGAGGGGCGCGTTCCCGCCTCTGAGACCGATCGCCCTCAGGCCCAGGAAGGCCTGGGTAATTCGGGCCTGTGGCGGTGGTGATGGTGAGGGGAGTAATGACTGCCCCGACGGTGCCGCCGCTGCCCTTCTCTTGACTGGACCTGGATCTCAGCTTTTGCTCAAAGGACGGAAGAGCAAGCGTTGGAAGCAGACGGAACTCAGGGAAGCGCTCAGCCGAAAGGAGGAACAGCCTTCTCGAATATCTCAGCTGGAGTCAGGGCCCACGCCACCTAGGGAGTGAGCTCCCCGTCACTCGGCCAGGGCGCTGAGGGAGCGCAGGTCGGCCTGACGAATCCTAGGCAGCTGCGATGCAAAGAGGCCACGCAAAAAGGCCGAGAGGTCTCTGTGCGGTCGCTGTGTGTCCCCGCCACTGCCCGAAAGGAATCCCACCCGCCTTTGCTTGATGCGCCCTCCCGCAACAAACAGGAAACCAGCGCAGGGCTGTGGATTCATTCTGTCAACAAATACACTGAAGACATTCGAGCGTTTAAAGGAAACGGGGTTTGGGCGTAAGCCGGGCCCTGCGAAGTCCCGGCTTTCTCGCGAAGAAACCGGAGCAGGCGGCCAGGCCGCCTGGGCCTGCGTGAGCCCATCTGTTCTCAGAGCCCGAAAGACTCCCACGTCCCTGACCCAGGTTGTGAATTCTTCACGTAGAAAGCAACTCAGGGAGAGACACTCACCAGCGTAGCCATGGGGAAGGGGGAACTCAGAACAGACAACACAGAGGTGTGATCAGACTTTTACCAGCACGTTCTCTGCTGTAATCATAACGATGTGTGTGCCGTGATATGCACACACGGATTCACACATCAAATGCGCCCACACACAGTGAACAAGACGTTCAATGTCACGTGGGTGAAATACAGGCATCAGTCTAGAAGAAAACTATTTCGCCCTGTCGGACCAGCCTGGTGACATACTTCGGGGTGGCTAGCGGCTCTCTACCCATTCTGATTTTTCCGACCACTCACCATTCCCTCCCCCGCGGCTTTGTAAATACACCTGTCCCCAGTGGAAGGCGAGCCCCCGACTGGCATTTACCTGGTTCGGGTGTTCTCCCCAGAAACTCGGGTTGGCTCTGGAGCCCCGCCCGGAGCGGGTCAGGGGCGCCGACGCTGCTCTGGGTGCAGCCGCCGCTCCTTTGTCCCGCTGCTCCAGCCCCGCTTGGCCCAGCGCTCAGGAAAACGAAGCAGCTCAATAAAAACTTTTGATATTAGTTTTTATGGGTATTTACACTCTGGTCAGGGGAGCTGAGTACGGAAGCTCCATTAATCAGCCCCCAACCTCAGGTTTGGATGCTCAGTTTATGGGTTGGGAAAGGGAGATTGCCGGAAAGCAAGCATAAGGATGGCCGGCTGACTGCGAATTGAAAAGGGAGCAAGGTCGTTTTCCGTTCTTGGAAAACGAAGATTAAATGGGTACCTCCAGGTGCTATCCAACTGGACTAGGTTTTTATTTGAGCCCCCTGGCAGGGATGATTTTTCCACCTTTGCCTAACAAAATATTTTTAAAATCCTTTTATTATGAAAAATTCCAAACACACGCACAAGGATAAGGAACCCCATATAGACCCAATTCCTAGTTTCAATCACTATGATGATTTTGTCTCTCATGTTTCATCATCCACTTCCACTTTTTTTTTTTAGTATTTTAAAGAAAATTCCAGACATCACATCATCCCGCTCCCAGCATAGGGTTTTGAGGATAAATTTCAAGGTTGAGCAAAATTGGTCAATAAAAAGGAATCCTTGCTATGTCTCAGGGTAAGGGGTCAGTGTGTTTGAACTTGAATTGTTCCGATCACAATCTAGAAAGAACTTGAGGTCCACCCAAAAGAAATCTGGACAAAAAAAGCTTGGGGGTGTGGGGCATCTTGCCTGAAAATTTGTCTCTTCTTTATCAAACATACATATATAAGGGAGACTTACGCTACCATTTTCCAGGAGTGTGTCATCCTTTAATTGAAGTTTTCTACTGTTGTGTCAGGGTTTGGGGAAGAGATGAAAACCATGCCTCAGTCCTTCCTATGTCCTAAATTGACATATAGTCCCTTCTTATTGGACAAGTGACAGTTTCACATATCAGCACATTTCCTCCCCTGGTAGAAACTAAAAAGAGATTTCTAATGATTAAGCAAGGAAGGGAACATTGTACTGGATTGATGTCTAATTGCAGCAACCACAGTTTTCAAAAAGAAATGCAATTCCATGTATTAAAAAAATCTCAGCAGTAAAAGATTTTAAAACAAGAATTAATAAAGGCATTGTGGTTTGTTTTGTTTTGTTTTTATTCAGTGGCCTAATTGACAACAAGCTGATCCTCTCCAGAAACTCTGGAGTGTGATTTTAACTAAAAACCTTGGCAACATTAGAAAGCAAAAAGGCAAAAATGGAAAATAGAAAGCCATTGAATTTGACAAGTCCTATGCCAGCCAGCTACTTCATAA